GATGAAGCTCAAGGGCAGAGGCATGTTTGGGTATGTGAGAACTGGCCAGTAGGTTTATCTATCTACACTCCTACAAATAAGGAGGGAGGATGACATGGGAGGTGAGGGAGAATGATGGAACGGGGGTGGGGGCCACAGGTAGAGTGAAGACTAGGATGCATGCTGGGGCTTGATGGAAGGCCACTGTGTCCCTGGGACACAGAGAACCAGAACTGGAGCTGTGCTGGCCCGAATTCTGATGAGTCCCATAGAGCAGTTCTGAGGGGGATAGAACAGGTTGGAAAGCCATGCAGAATGAGATGAGGGTCCCAAGAAGGAGGGGCATAAGAGCTGGTCGGGTGTGTCTAGGGCACAGGAGCAACTCTGCCCAAGGGTGCCCCCAGAGGAGGCAGGGGCCTATTTCAGGCCCCTTTCCACTTCTCTGCTTTTCTTGATATTGCCTGCTTCCTTGCAAATCCCATGATCTCTCCTTTCTGATCCTTTTCATCTCCCCCCACCCAGGAGGGCAAGAATGCTGTTTGCATGAGAAGATAAATGTCATAGGGAGCCCCAGAAAGGGCAACTTTCTGAAAGACTGCTGAAGGCCAGCTACGCTGGGCTCCCAACTGTGCCTGGGTAGAGGTGGGACGGGCTGAGAGGTCTGGGCCTTCAACCCCCAGCTTTCCTCAGAGAGGACAGGGGACCAGGACCCCAATCACTACCAGGAGAGGAATGTTTTAAAATATAAAATGTATGACTCTATGGGCAGCATGTGGAATGAATTCCTCTTTCATTGAGGGACCATAGCAATGTTGGTGTTGTTTTCTCTGAATGCTTCCAATCTGTTGCTCTTTCCTCGGAGACTGATTACTCGGTGGGATCATGGACAGGAAAAGCTTCAGTAGATTAGGGTTAGCACTAAGAGGTCTTCTGTCAGTCAAGGCTCGGCATCTGTAGCACAGTGGTTATGGTGCCAGCCACATGCACCAAGGCTGTTGGGTTCAAACCCAGCCCGGGCCAGCTGAGCAACAATGACAACTGCAACAAAAGGATAGCTGGAGTTGTGGCAGGCGCCTGTGGTCTCAGCTACTTGGGAGGCTGAGGCAGGAGAATCGCTTGGGCCCAAGAATTGCTGTGAGTTGTGACGCCATAGCACTCTACCGAGGGTGACATAGTGAGACTGTCTCAAAAAAACAAACAAACAAATGTCAGTCAAGAGAAGGATGTCACCATGTGACTCCAGTCCTTTTAGCCAGTGGAATTCATAGTGGTAAAACCATCATGAAAAACACGGTTTCTGGCTCGGCGCCTGTGGCTCAAGTGGCTAAGGCGCCAGCCACGTACACCTAAGGTGGCGGGTTTGAACCCAGACTGGACCCGCCAAACAACAATGACGGCTACAACCAAAAAATAGCCAGGTGTTGTGGTGGGCACCTGTGATCCCAGCTACTTGGGAGGTTGAGGCAGGAGACTCGCTTGAGCCCAGGAGTTGGCGGTTGCTGTGAGCTGTGAAGCTACGGCACTCTACCCAGGGGGATAGCTTGAGGCTCTGTCTCAAAAAAAAAAAAAAAAAAAAAAAAAAAAAAGAAAGAAAGAAAGAAAAACACGGTTTCTCATGAGAATGATGGGGAACAAAAATAATTTTTAAAAAAAGCAGTTTCTAATCACACCTGTTTCTCAAATATTCTCAAGTATTACAGCAAATTTAACAATCTAAATAAAGAGAGTTTTTGGCATTATTTAGCACGGGTAGGCACTCAGTAAATACTGGCTGAATGTTTCTTAAGTGTTGAAAATAATTCAACTATTTATATATTGAAATGTTCTTTAAGTAACTCAAGTACATTTAGATAACTCAGACATAAAATTCTAAAATATACAATTTTGATAAAAAATGTATATATAAATGAGTAGTGTTAACATGTTGAATTAAGTTTCCAGTGGAGCGTTCAGAAATTCTTGGAAACTTCATCTACAGATAATCATAATTAAAAGTCATCATTCCTCTGGTTATTGCAGGTCAGGGATACATTGTCTGGATCCATGGACTCCTGAATTACTGATTTTTATGTGCATTTTTCTGGAGAAAGGAACCATAGCTTTCATCAAATTATCAAAGGCTTTGTGAGTTTCTTTGTTTTTTTTTTCAACGGTTAAGAATCACTGCTGTTGATGAATGAGATTCCAGCAGGCGCTTGGCTTGCTTAATTCTCGTCTCCTTCAGACTCACAGGCCCAGCAGGAATGTAAGAATTCCCAAGCTTAAATTACTCTAATAGTTGTAACAACTCTTTGGAGTCATGTTATTAAAAAAAGAACAATTTTTATGAACGAAGTGTATAAAAATAGACATTTGGGAAGATTTTAAATGTACATGTGTATAGTGTGCAAGGGTGTACTTTTTCTAAATCACTTCCCAGCTCATTCTCCCGTTAGTTTCATTCTCCTGGTACCTGGGATCTATTTAATGTGGTCACAATAATGAAGGATCCTCACAGTGAGAAAAAGCAACCATGTGAAAGATCTCAGATGAAATAGAAACCACAAATGGTAAATCAGGGGTCCTCAAACTTTTTAAACAGGGGGCCAGTTCACTGTCCCTCAGACCGTTGGAGGGCCGGACGGCGGGCCCCGGGACGAGTCAGCTGCTAAGCAGGACAGGCAGTGGTGGCAAAAACACCCGGCCGGCCGGATAAATATCCTAGGTGGGCTTCATGTAGCCCACCGGCCATAGTTTGAGGACACCTGTTTATGGGGCTGATTGCAAAAATTAGAGGCTGCCTTTCTTGACTGAGAAATCCTCTAAGTCCCTGGATGCTCTTGCCATTACAAAGAGCCAAGTCCTTATAAGACCATCAGTGAAGCAAAGACCATTCTTCACTAACCTGGAAAGGCTGCTGGGGACACCTGCAGCATCATCCTGGAGAGGAAAGCATGCCCTTGCCACTGACTAGTGTCCTCTTGGACCCTAGGCCCCAGCAACCACCTGGAAGATGAGTAAGGAGTAGAAGCTGTGTCTGCATCTCCCTTTGCATAGCCTACAAGAGAATCTTTGTGCCCTGAAGTTGCTCATGAACACCTGATCACGGGGCAAGAGAGTCTCAGCTCCAGCAGATTCACTATTTGGCCTCAGCTCTGGAGGCGTTGTGAGCCCCTAAGATGTGTACAAGATGTGCGTTTTTCTGGGAAGAGGATCTGTGACTTTAGATTCTGGAGTGGCTCTGTGATGTCCCCCAAACACCAGGGACTGCTATGATACAGGTATTCATCTGCAGTCACTCTCTAAGGGAGACACTGCTTTTCAGAGTGCCTACTCTGTTTTTCTCAATGCCTTAAGATGTTGCAGAAAAAAAACTACTCAGAAGGGCTAACAAAATAGGGAAACTGTCACCAGCAAAACTTGTCCTGCAACCTGATTTTTATTTTTTAAAAAATTCCATGTAAAAATAAATACCTCTCAACTAAAGTTAACTATAGCAAATATGCGCAGTTTTTAAAAAAGCCACATACACAAACAGGTTTTTTAGTTGCCCTGTTTCTGAAATAATGATGTAAAGGAAAACTCCCAATTTCAGTCACAAATCACAGAAAACACAGTCCCCCAGGCAGACTGTCTTCATCTCTGAACCAGTGCTGATCTTTTCAATGAGGAAATACCAAGCATCAAATATTTAGATTTTAGAATATTTTAATGTCCATTTCTTCAGTGAATGCAATTTGAAATTACTAGAATTAACAATTTAAAAAGAGCAGATCAAAGAAAATATGGAAAATGCAAACAGTTGGTTAATTTCAGATTCTATGCATAAGATTTTCGAAACAACCAAAGAATGCTTACTTCGAAAATCTAGAAATTCAAATGCAGATGTATCTTTGGAAACTACAAATGATTACAGCCCAAGTAATGAGAAGCACGTGGCCCTTTGGCTCCCCGTGTCATGTGCAAATGTGCAGGTGCAGCCCCACCAGCAAAGTCAGTGTCCGTGGAGTCATGCGCAGGGGTGGCACAATCTGTGGGACCCTCACACTATTGAAGGGTTTCATAACTGATGCTCTACATTTGTCCGCATCGGATACAATGACGTGTGCTTGTTTATCATATATATGGATATATCATTTGATCTGAGCTGGGGCTGAGGAGGAAATAGCAACTGCGACTCAAAGCAACTATTTACACACATTCAATTCTGAAGTATTGTTTCCTGCCTCAAATTCCTAAGAGGTATTGCCACCCTGAAGAACCATCCATCCTATCCATAGCACTTGAACCCACTACTTAAGAACTTGTGTGTCTCTAGGACTATTTGTTCAATGCCAAGGGACTGAGACACACACGTTTCTGCTGCAGAGGTTCTGTGTTTCTGCATGCACTGAGGTATGCTTCGGAGCAGGGAAGTGGAAAGGCCCGAGGGGCTTCATGGCCCAGACAGAACATCTGTACTGGTTACTTAAGAAGGCTCAGGGTGTTTTTTAAAGACAAATTTAAACTCTGGGTGAGTTGCCCTTTGTCAGAGGCTCCTATTTGCACAATGCTGAACCAGACTTCAGTTTTGCAGCTCCTTGGGTTTCCAGGGTGAGGAGCCACAGACACCTTTGTGGTAAGGGAAGGAAAAGAGTTGGATGGAGAAGTGTGAGCAGAGATGAACTTTGTAGAGTACATTCTGAGCAAGACAGCAAAGACATCAGCAACTGCCCAGCCCCTCAAAGCTAAGCAGCATGGAGGTGGGAGGCAAAGGAGAGGACATTCAAATACACACCTTAATACTGATGGCAGAACAATCCTGATGTGCCCACAATCCCTACGTACAAGGGAAGCATCAGGTAGTGTTTTCTTTTTTTAAGAAAAAAAAAAAAATCTGTGGTATTGTATAAGAATACATTCTTTAGAAGCAAGAGGTATTATCACAGCCATCCTTTCTTCATTATTGGCAGACCAACAAACTGACAGTAAAACCTAGAGGAAAATTTTAAAGTTACTGAGAAGCCCTCAATCCCCAGATGTCAGCTTCCCGGTGCCAGCTGCGCTGTGGGGTAGCGGCCTCAGATACATCCCCTGAAGGAGGGCGGATCAGAATTGCTATTTCCTTACGCTGGAAATGGCAGATCTATACGTCTTTGGGGAAGAGGAGTGATGCCAGGACTTGATGCAGATGTGAGAATTAGTGTGATTTACCAGCAAAGAGCAGACACACCAGGCACATCAGGGAAGACCAACACATCAGGAGCTGCCTGCAATGTCCCGTGAGCTGTATGCTGGTGTCACCTGGAAGAATCATGATGATGGTGCCAGGACAACTCTGGCCTGAGTTCACTGTGATATCAACTTCACACTCAACATGGCAAAACTTCATTACAAACAAGATCAAAAAACGATTCTCCTCTCAGCTTTTCTCTAACCTGCCCTTGGCTGGACACTTCCTTCCCCCACAGATGACTCTGTCCTTAAGTACAGTTTAAGGACACCAGCTCAAGAGGCTGAGATTAGCTCACAAGACTAAATCCTGTGACAAACAGGCCCTACACAGCCTGAGAGCAGGAGAGAAGAAAGTCCCAAAGTCTGTGGGAGCCGGGACAGTGCCACCACCTGCCTAGGCCTGCTCTGCACCCAGCTGGGTTTCCATCCCGAGAACCAGACAGGGGACCTGTAGGCAGCAGGGGCAGCTGCAGAGCTTCCCTCAGCCCTAGAACTGCAGTGGACGTGGCTCAAGGGGAGGTGGCCGTAGGTGGCCGAAACATTAAGGGACATCTCATCATCCTGTGAAGTGCCCCACAGGCTATTTCCCTCCAACCAGATGCCCAGGGCTCCTGCCCCCCCCCCTTTCTGATAAATAAATAAATAAATAAATGCGACCCTCAGACATTTATTTGGAGTCTCTCCTCAGACATGTCAGCTTCTGAAACAAACACCTTCATCCCCAATTGGAAGACCCCTCGGCGAAGGGTCAGGATGAGTGGCTTTGAGATACCTGAGGCCTGGGTGCACAGGCTTTGTGCCCAGTTAGCATCTGCAACTTGGCCTACCGTGGTGGAATCCCTGGAGCCCCCTGGCATAGGGAACCTGGTCTACCCATAGCCTGCCAGGGCCCAGGTGCCTAGGAAGGTGCAGGTGCCCATGCTCCCATCTTATACCCCCTCTCAGTGAATTACTGGCACTTTATATCAGATTCAGAAATGAAAGTGTGTGCGTATATGTGCTTAAGTAGAAAGGGAAGGTAACTGGGAGACACTATTATGGGGATACAGGAAAAGAAATAAAAAACATTGCATTAGCGACCCCCGCCCCCGGAAATAAGTGTCTCATGAGAAAAAGCAATGAAAATGGTATCTCAACCACAGCTTTTGTTTGAAATGTCAAATAATACCCAAAGCCATGATTTCCACTGTTGGCCTCTGTCCCTAGACTCAAGGCCAAGGCCGAGCCCTGAAGGCACTTGTTCTCTTCACGTGCTGAGCAGATCACCCCAAGGGGGAATGTCCAGGGAAGGGATGAAAGGGAAAGAAATGGATGAAAATGAACCCTGAATAACTGTGATCCACACAGAAGTTAGGGCTGAAATGACCACATAACATCATGTCCGGGGATGGAGGCTGTGGCGCTGAGAAAACACAACAGCCCAATACAAATATTACTGTGTTTCCATGAGCAAAGCACCTCGGGCAGCTCACACACTCTTTGAGACGTTGAGCTTGGTGAGTTCATTGGCTTCTTCCATTCCCATGTCTTCACAGTCATTTTCCTCTAAAGTTTGGACAAACTGACACTTTTCTTCAGCTTTGAGGGACTCCTTCCAGGGTCTCTTAGAGGATAGGTAAGTGTCCTTGGCCTGCACCGTGCTGTTGTCAGAGCCCAGAGACGTCTTGTCCGGATACTGGACAGAAGGCACCAGGTTGGCAATCTCGTCTGTGGGAGACCGTCCAATGCTGCCATCCACCTGAACGCGGATGTCTGGGGAGATGGACAGCTGGTGCTGTGGCACGACCCCATTGTCCGTGCACTTTGGGTAAAGGTAGGTCTTCATCTGGCCCTTTCCCTTGACGTTCACCGTCCCCCTGTAGTCAAATTCATAGCCCATCTTGCTTAAGACACGGTAGCTCTCCTCACTCACCTGGATGCGGCACTCGACACCGGTGGTGTCCATCCTGCTGGCGATGTTCACGGTGTCCCCCCAGATGTCATATAGCAGCTTGGTGGTGCCGATGACCCCGGCCGTGAGGGGCCCGTGGTTGAAGCCGACTCTGAGCTTAAAGTTGAACCACAGCATGTTGTTGTTGAAGTCATCCACCACACGCATCATCTCCTTTGCGAACTCAAACAGGATCTGCAGGTGCTCCTGCGGGTGGCTGCCATCCTGGGCCTGGGCGGTGTTCAGCCCTGACGCTGCCATGTATGTGGCCCCAATGGTCTTGATCTTCTCGACATTGCTGTAGTCTGGCTTGCTCAGGAGCTCATCAAAGTCCCCGATGAGCTCGTTGAGCACCCGGTAGCACTCCTTGCCTCCTTCGTAGTTTTCCTCATAGAACTCACCGAAGTTGACGATGCTGGCAAAGATCACGCCTCCACTGTCATGGTTCTTGGAGTAGGTCTGGGATACCTTCAGCTGCTCGGCGACATGGTAGGGGATGATGTTCCGCAGCAGCCAGTCGGCCTGATCCCTCATGCTCTGGATCTTGGTGCGGTGAAGATCTGCTTCCACGTCCCCGTGGTAGTGGAGGCGGTAGCTGACTTCAAATTCTCGGTTCAAAAACCAGACCAACAAGAGCAGGAGGAAGAAGACAAGGATCACCTCCTGGCCGATCAGGCTGGCTGGCCTCCTGAGGTCACGTGGCAAGGAGCTATTGCACAGATTCCTTCCGGAGCTGGAGAACAATGACATGAGAAAGGACATACCTGCTGAGTGCATCTTTGAAGGGGAAGGTTACGACTCAGTACCTGTAAGTTCTGAAACAGCCCAGCTAACTGGCGTCCTATGTAAAGCTTCCCTGACTTCAAACATTTAGCAAACTGAAGCCATAAAACAGCCTGTTTCTGGTTTTGGCTGGCTGAAGATACAGAGAGATAATGACGGCCTCTCATGACTGATTTCTTTAATGAGTACTTGGTAATTGATTTTTTTTTCCCTCAAATGCCTTTTAGCTTCTTTTAAAACTTGTGCTCCCAACTTTTTATTCTTTTTAATTCATTTATTTCTTTTTGAGACAGAGTCTCACTCTGTCATTCTGCCTGGGTAGAGTGGTATGGCATCTTCATAGCTCTCAACAACCTCAAACTCTTGGGCCAAAGTGTCCTTTTGTCTCAGCCTCCTGAGTAGCTGGGACAATAGGCGCCCACCACAACACTGGTCTTGAACCCCTGATGCACCTGGGCATGAGCAACTGTACCTGGCCAGTATTTTGCTTTTGAATTATCACCCATTATTATATCATGACTATTATAGCTCTAATTTTTATATATGTAAATAAATACCTTGACATATACACAATAATTATTAATATTAATTATATAATAATATATACACAATTTTGCATAATAAATGAAATCCTGTATTCTATATTTGCCACATTTTAATAGCTGTAGTATGATTACATTTATCGTAACTTAATTCCTTTATTATTGACAACTAAAGTTGCCAGTGGATTTTCAATATTATCACTGTGATTGATAATTTCTAGCATGTAGTCTTTGTCATATACTGAATTGTTTCCTCAGCAAATAACCAAAAAATGGAATTATTAGGTTATTATTGAAGGTTGTGAACACTTTTATGACTTTATTATACAGATTGTCAAGATGCTTTCCAAAACTATTACAACATTTTGAGAAATAACGAGGTATGGCAGAATGAATAGGTTTAAACCCTGCCAAGGACTAGCTGTATGACTAAAAACAGGTTCCTTAACTTCTCTGAGCCTCAACCTCCTCATCTGGAAAATGGGAACAAAGTCATCTAATATATCAGGTGATTGTAAGCATTAAAATAAACTTATATTTTAACTGCTTGGTAACGAACAAAAAATTATCACAATTCATGAATGTACTATACTCTTCCTTGAACTAAGCATTCACTTTATGATTTTTTGTAACTCTAATTTGAAAGCCCAAAAGGGACCAACAGTGGTGACTCTAACCTGTAATCCTAGCAATCTAGAAGGCTGAGGTGGGTGGACTGACTGCCTGAGCTCAGGAGTTCCAGAACAGCCTTGCAAAAGCAAGACCTGTCTCTACTACAAAAAAGAAAAAACTGGGTGAGTGCCTGTAGTCCTAGCTACTTAGGAGGCTCAGGCAGGAGGACTGCTTGAGCTCAGGAGTTTAAGGTTGCTGTGAGCTAAGATGCCACGGCATTCTACCCGGACATAGAGTGAGACTCTGTCTCAAAAAAACAAACAAACAAAAAAAAAACAACTCCAAACGAGTGATTATTGTCAATTTTTAAAAAAACATCATTCCAGTTAAGAGACTGGTCTTTAAAAAGACCAAAAGGAATTGTGCAGTTACATGAGTGTGTAATGATACTGTGTACACTTGTATATTTGTCTTCCAACCACATTTCCTCTTTTGTGAATTTTTGGTTTTTTGTCCTCTATGCAAGTCTTAATTTGCTGTTTTATACAATAGTCCCACAAATATTTTTCTGTGAACCTTGATTTCCTCTCTCTTTCTAATTTATTAGTCTTTTTCTTCATGGTTCTACTTTTTATTTGTAAAACTGGAAAGTTATCTCGTCTTATAAGTTTGAAAACTACTTAATTTTAAGTTTTTCTAGATTCTATATGGCATCATTTTTATTTTTGACTCCAAGATTTTTAAAATTTATGTTGCCACTTACAGTAAGGCAAGGTCTAACATTTATTATTTCAAACCTATAGTCAGTTATTTAAAAATATCTTAGGAAATAATTATTTTTCTTTGATTCATGAGATTTTCTTTGTAACATCCTAAATTCTTATGTAAAAATTATACCAACTCTAAAATACGTCTAAGTAATTATTTTATTTTCCCAATTAGATACTATAACTATGATCTGATATTTCAAGAAGTAGATATTTTCCATTTTTTCTTTTAAGAATACATACATTGCTCATTTTATTTAAGATATGACTATTCTAGGAAGCTGAGAAATAAGCAGGAATAACACAGTCACCTATATATTTAGAGATAAACACAATATTAAAAGTTTACCTGAAATTCTGTAGTGCATCAAGGGGTGAAGTTACCATGGAACTGAAATTAAAATGCAGAAAAATATCATTATAAAAAGCAAAAAAGGCATTCTAGGAAGCAAGCTGAGAAGAGCTTAAACAACCTTCCTTTTTTATAACGTGAATGTGACATAGTCATAGTCCACTTGTGCCCATCTCTCCTTCCACATCTGTGTCCCTCAGTGCTGGGGGCAGTTCTCTGAAGAGCCCCCTGCCCCTCTGTAGAAGCTGAGGTTATGCCTCTGCTCACCATCCCACATCCCTCTACCCAGGTTGGGCATAGCAGTGCTGAGGGGGTGGGGGGCTCCACATACATGGGAAGATCTTACATGGGTGACGAATTTGGGCCAAGGACACCCACCACCACCCCTGCTCTGAGATGTGCTGTTTGAATTCTGGGCAGAATGATGACAGAGCGTCCCTCATCCCTTTGGTTCCTAGATCCAGGTGGGAAATCCCCATGGGCACAACTAAATGCCGCTATGAATGTCCAGTGAGGTGTTTTGATGGAATTGCTGTTCACACTTTTGGTAAAGAGCTTTGTAATGACCATGGTTCCAGATGGCCACACCTTTAGGACAATAAAAGCATGCTTTACTTTGCTTGAAGTAATTTAACTATCCATTAAAGTTTCTTCTCAAATACTGAACAACAGTTCTATTTTAAATTCCCTTTTGATCATAATGTGCAGGGAATTTGAGTATCTTTCATATTGTTATTATTTATTAGTAAATTGAAGAAGAGGACTTACTCTGTCTACTACTGACTGACCACTGCTTTAATGTTCAAGGATACCTGGGACTAGTACATTTCACATTGCTGATATGGCAACAAGTTTGATTGTTTTATGCTTTCAAATTCAATTTTTTTTTTCTCTTTTTTGAGACACTATCTCACTGTTGCTCTGGGTAGAGTGCTATGGCATCATTGTAGCTCACAGCAACAGCAACCTCAAACTCCTAGGTTCAAGCAATCCCCTAGCTTCAGCCTTCCAAATAGCGGGGCCTATAGGCACCCAGCACAACACCCAGCTAGTTTTTTTACTTTTAGTAGAGATGAGATCTTGCTCTTGCTCAGGCTGGAACTCCTGAGCTTAGGCAGTCCACCCACCTCGGCCTCCCAGAGTACTAGGATTATAGGCATGAGCCACACACCTCGCCCTCTTGAATTTACTTAACGGTAATACTACTCCTAGTGGGTATCTTGGGATGTTAGAGGTCCCTCTGGTTGTCATAATAATTTAGGAAGCCAGAATTTTAGATAGATGTCTTGCAAAGCCCAATAAAGAAACATCTCATGTAACTTTAAAATATCCTGCTTGCCTATAACTGTAAAAAGATGGTTCCTCAATACACGTTAACTATGAAAGACCTATAAGCAGTTCTAGAAAGAGCACAATATTCAGAAGTTTGTTACACAAACGGAAATTTAATGGAATTGTGATATCATGAAATATCTGCATAAATTGTTCATTACGTGCATCCTGTCATCCAAGGTATTATTGTAGTTCTAATTCCATATTTAATTGAAAAGCTTAAAAGCCCCCAAACCACTTGCAAACAAGCAACAGGCAATGTGAGATTCATTTAACAAACTAGGAACCAAACAAACATTATTTAATTAGGAGAATACGTGAAAGACAGGGATCTCACTGGATCTCACCAATAGAGGATATTTTAAATACAGCACCTATCACTGTTGTTCTGTGTCTTATTTATTTATTCGTTTATTTTTGAGACAGAATCTCATTCTGTCACCCTTGGTAGAGTCCTGTGGTGTCATAGCTCACAGAAAACTCTTAGGATCAAGCAATCCTCTTGCCTCAGCCTCCCGAGTAGCTGGGACTGCAGGCACCTGCCACCACACTTGGCTAGTTTTTAGAGATAGAGTCTCACTCTTGCTCAGGCTGGTCTCAAACTCTTGAGCTCAGGCGATTTACCTGCCTCGGCCTCCCAAAGTGCTGTCCTGTACTTTTTTATGTTTTAATATTTGTAGCACAAAGATGGGAACTGATCCTGTCCCCCATTGGGAGGTCTACTGCCCACTCCTGGTTCCACATCCAAACCATCCTCTCCATTCCTTGGCACCCATCAGTCCTACAGTTTCAAAGGCCATTCTGAGTACTGAACTACTCCTTGATATATGGTGGGATTTCAAGATAAGGGATATGTCCAGTGACGGATCATCATTTCTGTGACTTGTGTCATAGGAACATGGGATATTCTTTTGACACAATACTCATAAATAAGGCCCAGGTCACTTGCAAGATTACCTTATGTCTTCATTTCGTCCACTTCCACAATCTAACCTGTCTTGTACATGAACTCTACTCCAGGTAAGGTCAGGAACAGCTGCTTCTTCATTTTCATGTCTCTCTGTACCTCTACTCTTTCATTTCCTTGACCATCTTGTATGAAATGCTTCAAGTCTGGCTTTGTTAGATTCCAACTCATGTGATAACTGCATTATGTCTCCAAGCATGTCTATATTCAACTATTGTATATGGCATGTTGTTAAAAGTGATTTTCTTTTTCATATTACTGTTGGGGCATCTTATTAACTTTCTGACGTGATGTTTATTGAAAGTCATTTTGGGCCACGATGGTAAACATTGCTATCAGAGAATGTGCAAACTCAGCCAGGCGTGAGTGCTTTCAGGCAAGGTACCCCTGTGCCTGGGGTGCCTGGCATGCAGTATGGGCTGCATACCTGTCTGGGCACAGGGAGACGTAGAGCAGAAGCAGTGGCCCGGCTCCCACGACAGTGGCAAGGGAAGACCGCATCCAGGAGCTGAGCTGGCAGAAGTTGCAGTAGTGCACCACGGCGATCAGCGCAGCTGAGCCAGTGAACGTGGAGAACTGTAAGAGGTACAGAGTTAGCGACGGCCACCTGCCTCCCCACCGCGCATTACCCGGGCTCTACGCAAGACTGCCTAAGCATTTGCTGCTCACCTATATTTCTGCTAATGTGAAAATACTTCCAATGGTACCAAATGGCTTATCTATGTGCAATAATTCTTTCCTTTGGCTAGCCAGCAGTTTCAAGGACAGATCAAACCCCTTTAGGACCACTAACCAGAACATTAGGCTACAAGTGCACACTGTATGTGGAAATGGCATGTTGTTTTGGTGGAAAGCAAGGATTCCTCATTTGAAAACTATTACTGTGTGATCAGTTACCTTCAAAAAGCTTTTCTTTGGACACCTGCTTATGGAAATATAATTTGGTGTTAAAGCACCAAATGCAGTCCACCTGCTGGTAGCTATTATACTTATTTACAACCTTCCACAAGAGTATTAGTTTACTCTTTATGGAGTTTAAACCAAAAGGTCCTTTCCTGATCAACAGAAGAGGTTCCAGTCAATCATTTCTGTCAATTCTTTCTTTTCTTTTCGCTCCAGATAGAGTGCAGTGGCATCATCATAGCTCACAGTAACCTCAAATTCCTGGGCCCAAGTGATCCTCCTGCCTCAGCCTTCCAAGTAGCTGAGACTACTTCTCTGTTTTTAGTAAAGATGGGGACTCACCCTTGCTCAGGCTGGTCTGGAACTCCTCACCTGAAGTGATCCTCCCAAGGGGGCTAGTATTTCTGCCAATTGTGCAGACTGGCACATTATTATTATTGTCTAAAAATGTGGGACAGATGCTCTTTTATAAAGAATAAAGGAAAAGAACCGATTTGAAACCTGTTGAGAACTAAGTGGCATTAGAGAAGACTTGTGCCCACTGGGGAGACTTCCCAGCCTGTGAGAGGGTATGAACACCTGGACAGGCCTGTGCCAAGCTGCCTTCTAAAAAGAGAAGTACCAAGGTAGCATCAGAGTTTGTGCCTCTTTAAGAGCCTATTTTAAAACTGCTATTCCATATAATAGAATAATTTAAATAGAGAAATTCGAGAATTTGTCTGGAGAAGAGTGTAGAGATAAAATCCCCAAGTCTTTACTTACATGTATGTTTGTCTCAAACTCAGAGGTGACGTGAGAGTAGACGGCAAGTGCCGGCAGTGACACTAGGATGGCCCCGATGCAGTGGCGCGGGAGCCAGCCTGAGATCCACTCCAGCAGGCGCTTGGTGCAGGCCATGACGTCCTCCAGGAAAAACACCATCCTGTAGGAGGAGGGTCTAGGGTGGGTCTGCCCGCCAAGGAAGGTGGGAGTGGGGACCTTGTCAGGGCTGCTCACCTCCCACCCTCACTGTGCTGCTGCTGTCCTGGGGCAGGCATGGAGTAGGCAGAGCCCCCGCCTCACTTTTGGTAGAAGATAAGGAAACTAGGCTGACTCAGCTCAGTATGCCTTATTTTTAAGGGTACTTGTACTCTGATAAAACGTGCTGGTCTCAGGGAGCTTCTAAGAACACTACAGGCCCCGAGGAAAGTCTGTTGGGGAGCCACAGACTGCTATCACCTCCTCCCACCTGCTTCTGCCATGAGGTCTCAACTGGGGTGGTTATGGAGGTATCCTCAAGTTTTGGGAGGTCCTTCTGGTTGCCACAGTGATGGAGGGGTGCTCCTGGCTTCTAGTGGGGATACAAATGTCCTACAAGTGGCCAGAACAAAGCTTTTCCCTGTGCCCACAGACTTGTCATGCCCCCGGGCACCCACAGAGGCTGAAAACTTGCAGGCAACATCTTAGTCCAGAGCCTATATCCTAGGGTCTGTGACAGGCCCACTATCCTTGCTTCTGGAGAGGTCAGGAGCCACCATGGTTCAATATAAGAGCCTCTTGCACCAGGAGTTGGCACCTTCACCCCTGAATACCTGCAGTGTGTTGACAGCTTTGGTTGTGTGTGGCCATGACAAGGAAATACTGACTCTCTGGCCATTTCCCAAAAGGGCACAGGCATAGCCTGACCCTTTTGGGATCTTGGACAGCCCTGGCTTCCTAATATTTAAAGGATAATAAAGCCTTGGAAGATGTCCAAGAATAACCACAAATATGTGCAAAGGCAGAATGCAGGGGTCCTATGAGGAGGGACAGGGAAGTGAGTCTCCAGCCAGGAACAGAGGAGGTTGGGGGTCATTTGTGATAGTCCCCAAGCCCATAGACGTCCAGGGATGAGACCAGCTACCCTCATGCTTGGCTGGGGCAGAAGTGGAGGAATGAAACCCAGAGATGAGATGTGGAAGCTTTCTGGATGAGGTGGGTAAGACCCTGGGCTGGTGTGAGAACTCAGCACAGCTGGCTTCCCTGGGGATCCTGAGTATTACATAGCCCAGGTTCTTAGTGATTTAGGATCCCAATTATGGTCCTCAGTGGGACCAGGGGAAATCTTCAGGGTGACCTCTCCTAGGGCTTGATTCCTGGCAAACTGAACTAAGTCCTGCACATGCTCATGCAAGAGTGTGTCAGGCCCTCAATCCTGGGGTGCGAGTCTCAGCACCTTAGCCCTGGAAGTTCCTGAACCCAGCCAACCCCTATCCTCAGAACCGGGTCTGAAGGAATGAGACATAATGGCTGAAGGGTTTAAAAAAAAAAAAAAAGATGTGGAGAAAATGCTTTCCTTAGAGCCATCAAGAAGAGGCTGTAGGCTCCCTTCTTAGAGGGAAACTGGGGTGTGGACAAGGTGGACATGTAGGCAGTGAGTGCAGGTGGGGACAGGTTTGCTTTTGCAGTGATGGAAATATCCAAAACTATATTATGATGATATTTGTACAGCTCTGCAAATTTACTAAAAATCACTGAATTGCACACTTGAATGAGTGAGCTTATTGTATGTAAATTACATCACAATGAGGCTGATTAAAAAAAAACCTCAGATAGACCAGGGGCTTGAAGATGGCTTGGTTTGGGCTCCCTGGAAGTAGATCCTAGGAAGGACTTCCACATGAGCGGAGTGGGTCCTAGGAGCTGGGTTGGGTGTGGTCCCAGCTCCTGAGTCCCACTTGTCCTCCCTTCCCTCCATGGCCACCCTCCTTGCCCAATTCCCCTAGTTTCCCTCTAATATGGGAGCCTACAGCCTCTTGATGGCTCTGAGGCAAGCATTGTCTTCATACTTTTTTCTTTCTTTCTTTTTTTATTGATGGGGATTTATTGAGGGTACAAGAAAGCAGGTTACACTAATTGCATTTGTTAGGTAAAGTCCCTCTTTTTTTTTTTTTGAGACAGAGTCTTACTATGTTGCCTTGCATAGAGTGCTGTGGCATCACAGCTCACAGCAACCTCAAACTCTGGGGCTTAAGTAATTCTTTACCTCAGTCTCCCAAGTAGCTGGGACTACAGGTACCTGCCACAACGCCAGGCTATTTTTTGCTTGTAGTTGTCATTGTTGTTTGGCAGGCCCAGGCTGGATTGGAACCCGCAGCTCCAGTGTATGTGGCTGGTGCACCAGCCGCTGAGCTACAGGCACCGAGCTGGTAAAGTTCCTCTTATAATCATCCACACCTTTTCTTTAACCCTTCAGGCATTATTTAGGTTCTGAAGGATGAAGGGAGTAGAGAGCTGAGGTTGGGGAGGGGCAGTCCATTAGGGCTGTGGAGGGGGAGGGTCACCTGCTGTGGGCGTGGGGCACCACCCTGGGGAATTCAGGAAGACAGCAAAGATGGAGATCACACCAAGGGGTGTCATGGTAACTAGAGAAAGGCAGCAGGTATTCCAGCCCAAAGTGGGAGAAACTGGTGTTTGGAAGCTTCAGGGCCAGACCCAAAGCCATTTTTTTCTGCCCTGGGATGTTGGGTAAGAGTAGTAGAAACTCAAGGTCTGTCCCCTCACTTCTATTTTAACCTCAGCTCCTGAGGGCAACGGCTGGTGGGACTTCCCTAGGCTGACAGGCATCCTGTTGAGAGTGGCAGGACTGGATAAGGTGGTTGTGGCACCCAGGAGGTGGGTTACATGGGGTGATCTGCCGGGGGTAAATGGAGTGCCCCCAGTGTGCACAGAGTCAGGGAAACTCAGAGCAGCCTTGAGTTTCCTCAGGTCCTTGGGACCCCAAGGACCCAGCTTTCCTGACCAGCACCTGTGGTCTACTTGGATCCTCTGTCTTTTGAAAAGTGGGTTTTCTTTTTCTCATGGGGGTTATTGGTTTTTTACAAAATATTCTAGACAGTAGATCCTTGTCAGATATGATCTGATCTGCTAATATTTCCTCTCATTCTGTGAGTTTTGTGGGTTCTCTTTACTTTCTTCTTTTTTTTTTTTTTTTCTGAGACAGGTCTCACTCTGTTGCCCAGGCTAGAGTGCCATGGTGTCAGCATGGTTGTCAAGCAACCCCCTAAACCCCTGGGCTCAAATGATCCTCTTGCCTCCTAAACTGCTGGACTACAGGCGTGAGCCATGGAGCCTGGCCTCTCTTTCTTTTATTGTGTTCTCTGCAGCACAGAGTTTACATCCTGACGAAGCCAAACATCTATTTTTCCTTTGTTGCTTGTGCTTCTGGTGTCACACCTAAGAGACCACCAGTTAATCTGAGCTTGTGAAGATTTGTGCCTGTGGTTTCCTCTAAGGTTTGTGGCTTGGCTCTTACTCACGGAAGCAGTGCCTGCTGACCCACTGGCTACCTGTCACTTGCACCCTGCACACCTCTTGTCCTCACATTCTCCCTTTCTCACTTCTTATGCCCCCCCCTTTCTCCTTTTAAGTGTCTGACCCTGGAGATACAAGGACAAGTGGCTGCCATTGGGGCTGCATGGCCCAAGGTCCCCACCTGTGCCTGTATCGGCATCTTGGAGGGAGGACACTATGACACAGGGCTGAGGTAGGAAGGAAATGTCAGCCTGTCTCCACAAACAAGTGGGGAGGCTGGCTTCTGACCAGGGACTGCATTGCAGTCAGACTGCTCGGCCATAATCTGTCATGCCAGAAGAGGGAGCTACAGGCTAAGAACTAGAGAACACCCTGCCCCATTGGCTGGGCACTTTACCTGATGGACACCACAAGGGACAGCATCTCTAGCAGCAGGGCGGCGCCAAAGACTGCCAGGGCAGCAGGAGGGGGAGGCGCAGCAGTGGCCCCGTACTTCAGGAAGCAGGTGATGGAGAGAATGAGAAACACTGTTGTCGACAAAAACACATCCAGAAGGGAGCTGAAGGTGGCACTGGCAAAGGTCTTCACAGGGGAATTCTTTATAACCTGTGTGGGGCAGGAGGGGAACTGAATGACTCGGAGTGGCCACAGTGGTCATGGAGCATCATTCAGATGGAAAACCGCCAATGTCTGCTGAATGCTTGCCTACTCTGGACCTCCTGGGTGACAGTGTGTTAGGTAGGCCACTCCCTGCTACCCACTTGATAAGGAAGCTTAGGCATAGGGAAGTTATGAAACTTGATCAGGGTTACACAGCAACCAATGACAAGCAGTATTTTTCACAGATACTGCATATTTAGCCTGAAAGATGAGTGACTGGCAACGTTATGACTCTCCATCTGTAAAGACAGTCACAGAGATGCAATGTGCTAAAACTTTCCACCAAATGGCTGGTCCCAGGTCAGCATGGTATGTCAAGTGTGATACAGAGGTGTTCACATGGTGTTAGGGAGTGAAGGAAGGAGGCAATGATGATATTATGTCCAAGAGATGAGTAGATCCAGGCCCTGTGTGGGCCTTGTAGGCCACAATCCATCAATGCTTACAACAGTCCACAGGGAAGGACACACCATGATCTTGGTATAGAGACTGGGAAGTCAAGGTCACACGAGGACCTACACCCAGACTCAGCTCCAATAAGCTGACACCCAGGTGCTCCCCTAACTTCTGTCCAGGGAGCGCTGAAGGTGAAGGTAAGGACTTAAAGGCAGGGGCTGTAGTTGGGAGAAAGAGAAACACAAACCACTTAAGTTGCTTTCCATCTGGCAACAACCAAGAGGCAGTGGAAGTCAGCTTGGCCTCCCAGCTGGACTCAGGCTGGGTGCAGGGAGCAAAAAGGGCCTGTAACTGATCTTTGGTCTGGTGCATGTTCTGTTCAAGACAAACTGGCTCTGGGAGCCTTGGCTGCACCCCGCATCCCAGGAGCTAGGTGGCAAGGGAGAAGGGTAAGCCTGGACACTGGGGCAAGACTGTCAGTCAGTCCCATGTCAGGCTCAGACCCTTCCACACCACCAGGGGACAAGGTTTGAGTCTATGTTCTGGGGGTGTCTTTGTGTCCCAAAGAGTCAGTCTGGCCTTAACCTCTGGAATCCCCTCAAAAGGGCTGAGCATTTCAGAGGCGATGCTGCCTACACTGACCCACTGTAGCAGAGGCACACATATCACCCCCCCTTCTTAGGGGCTCCATTCAGAGCTCCAGAGACTAGCCGGGGCTCACTGCAGTTTGCTGGCATTGGTGCTGCAGGGGGCTGGGGGAGCTCAAAGGCTGCTGTAGTGCTCCAGCAGGCTGGACTGTGAGGGGGCAGCTTCACTTCCACCTGAAGCCTAAGATTTCCTGACTTCCCCTGTTCCTGATGTGGGTTAGCCAAGGCTTACATTCACTGCTTTAGGTGTTCTGAAAACTACCACATGCAGACTGCCTTTTGGTGACGGTGTCCAACTTGTTGCATGGCCTCCTGTCTTGCTCACTGTCCATCCCCTTCCTCAACTCAGCCTTGAGATCTCTATAAAACACAGTCTGATGGTGCTTCCTCATGCTCTGGACCTTCAACAGCTCCTGTTGGCCTTCAGCATGGCAAGGCAGCCACAATCTGGCCCCTGCCCACCTCCTGCCTCTCCCATCCCACCCTCTACTAGGAAGCACATACAAACTTCCTGGATGCATCAGCCTCTTGTATCTCTGAAGTTTGTGGATGCTAACCCTCTTTCTGGAATGTTCCCTCCCACATTTGGTTAATTCCTGGTCCTCTCACTATAGTAGGCTCCAGAGTTACTGTCCTCTGAACCCTTACCCTGGGACTGGGGCTTCACAGTGTGCTCGAAGGGCATTCCTAGACCTCTGGCTCTGGACAGTCACTGCTGTCTCATTACTGCTCCTTCTCAGGCTATACCTCTCACCTCTGCATCTCAGCCCCGAAGTCAATGCCTGGGGGAACATCTGGTGCCTGGAAGAATGGACAGTAAAGTTGCTTTCTGCTCAGCAGGCTCAGCAGTGCAGCACCAGGAGCAGCCGGGACTCAGGGCTTGAAAGTCAGACAGCTGATGCTCAGCCTTGCTGGGAGAGTGGGCCACCCACTTGGCCTTTCTTAGCCTTGGCTTTCTCTTTGGTAAAATTGGGATAATTATAAGTTTTCTTAAAGGGCTGCTATGAGGATTAAATGAAATAATGTTTTGTCTTACAGGCCACCAACCAACCACCTGCAGGAGTCATGCCTGGGATGTGAATTTTATTGTCCCTTGGAGGCTGACAGAAGGTGGCACCTCCAGCCCCACGAAGCATGAATTGACTCTATCTGTTTCACGATAGTCTCTCTAGAGCCTAGGCCACAGTGCCTGGACACAATAGACATTTAATAAAGATCTGCTAAATGAAAAATAGAATTTGCATGAGAAGCCCTTTCAGTCCTGGGTCCTTTGACTTGGGAACATGCATAGAGGTCAGGTTTGAGCCTGGTGGAAAAGAATGCAGGAAAAGGCTGCTTAGAATTCAAACCTGGCTCCAGGTTCTTGTATTTATTCCTTTCAATAACCACCTGCTGAGCACACGGAGGTGTGGGCTCCATGCTAGATGATGGGGTGGAAGGAATGAGAAAGACCAGGTTCTGCCTCATGAAGAGTCTTGGGAGGGAGGCATAATGATTCCAGAGTTGCACTAGTAAAGATTCTAAAATGAGGTGCATGCAAAGAAGAGAAAGTCTATAGGGGAAGTAAAATACAGCCTGGGGTCAGGAAGAGCTTCTTTAAGGAAATGATGTTTGGGCTGAGAGTTCAAGGACAACAGAGGTTAAGATGATGCAGTCAGGGTGGGGTGGGGACATGGAACCAGAGTTTTATGGAGAGAGATAAAGGCTTCCTTGGCTCTTGCGCCCATTTCAGGGAAGAAAAAACCAGACGGGGCAACAAGGAGGAAAGTCGTACTCAAGAACCCCGGATGAGTGCATGATAGGAGCTCCCTTCCAGGATAGGTGGGGCTGGGTCTTCTAGGGATAGGGACAGCCACAGGGGCCAGGAGACACAGCTATAGTAAGAAAGGTGATGATGAGGCTGGGGTTTTCTTTTTTCTTTGAGACAAGTCTCACTTTGTTGTCCTCAGTAGAGTGTCATGACATCATAGCTTACAGCAACCTCAAAACTTCTGGGCTTAAATGATTCTCTTGGCTCAACCTCCCAAGGAGCTGGGACTACAGATGTCCACCACAACCCCCAGCCATTTTTAGAGATGAGGTCTCACTCTGGCTCAGGCTGGTTTTGAACCTGTGAGCTCAGGCAATCCACCTGCCTCAGTCCCCAAGGGCTGGGATTATAGGTGTGAGCCACCACACCTGGCCGAGGCTGCTTTAAGACAAAGGACATAGATAATCGGCTGGGGTTTCTCCCTTGTAAAGAAAAATTCATATACAGTTGCGGTTTAGGGTTTGTGGATTGTGGGAAATCAGTATTAGCTTCTACTTACCCATCACTTGCTAAAGCACAAAATTAATCATGAATCACCCAGTGAGCGCTACTAATTTCTTCAGTGAAATTATAAGGAAAAAACATACCTCTTCTTGATAGCTGGCCCTGTAGGATCGCTCTAGTTCCTGATCCAGGAAGTTCAGGCTGAACTGATTAATGGGCGGCTTAAAAAAATAATCTTTCATCAGGCTAGAAGACACAATAAATGCAATTGATCAACATTCAACCGCAATCACTATAGTTATTTTTATCAAATCATGATTATCAAAAAGCCACTCATTAGGCACATCACAACCGCTGCATCTAAGTCACTATTTAATAGACATTGTTCTACCGTCCCTTTTAAAACGTATCTCCAGAAAAAGTTTCTAACCATGATTGCATTTTATGTCTCATCTCCATTAAAGAATGACTATCCCCCATGATTATTAGAACCTTATTTTTGAAAACACATTCCTAATATCCAGGATTAGAAGAAGATGACGGCAGCTCTTTTGTTCTGTGAAACTCTTTTCTGAAGAGCCATCAGATCCTTGTACCGAGAGTACTTATAATGATTTGTAGGCTTCAAGTGAAAACACAATTCAGAACTGGCTGCCCTGTCATTCAGAGTACTGACAGTAATTACCACTATAAAAACTAACAGGTTGTTATCACCAAATTGTGTTTATAGTTAGTGTAATTTTGGTGCTATTGTCACATATGCAGATTGTGCGTGAAACCTGAAATGATAAAGCTCAATGATTTTAATAGCAGAGAAATCAAATCTGCTTTACATGACTCTTTCATTCTTTTATGAATTGCCAGCAAATAGTAATATCCTTTCTAAACTGCAGAAAATTATGATAAATTTAAGGGAACATTAACATGATTTCTGAAAGTGAATACAGGCACAGATACAGTTACTTTCATGGAGTAACTATTAGAGTTAAATCAGATAAAATACGTAAAGTGCCTGGCAAGCGCTGGACACAAAGCAGGGCTTACCATATGTATACTCTTTCCTTTCCTTGCAGCACAGGGGACTCTCTCTTCCCAGTAACAAGTATGTAACAACTTAACTACCTTCTCAGACTCAGGAGAGAGAAAATTCTATTCCCTGATGTTAATCCTCTCCCCTTGCTTACACTCAGGAAGTATGAACAAAGGAAAAAACAAAGCAGCTGCAAGGAGGACTTGGTGATGGCCACATTAGCAGGCAAGTGGCAGAATCAACACTGCTATAAGCTGTACTGCTCCTTTTAAGTTAATGTTGGGAGATTCCACTTCTAGGAATGGAAGATAGCTTCTTTTGGACTAATCCTCTCACAGGTAAAAACTATAAATGATAGATAAAATATAGAAACAATTCTTGAAAGGTACTGGAGAGTGGCCAGAGCAGGTAATGATGGAGGAGAGTCATAGTTTGAAGAAAGGAACAGCGTCAGGTCAATTTCCCATTTTTTTCTACTTCTCTCTCTC